CACGCTCCCACTCCGAATGGGATGGGACAGCTGGCCGGGGGCCCCAGAGGAGGGCCAGTCTCCAAGCTCTAACCGGAGATAGGAGAACTAGGTTGTCCATGACTGGTGACGGTGTGGCTGTGGGTGTCGCTATGGTGTGAGGGATGCGAGTGAGGCCGTGCTTGGGGTATACTGAGTGATTTCACCTGGCACCTGACTTGGAGGTTTTGGAGTGACGCTTCAATTTTGGCGTTGTTGGACAAAGGAAGTGGGGGCTCGAATCAGTTGGCCATTCCAGGAACCTCCTTGGGAATTCAGCTTTTCTTATCTGCCGGGGTCTTGCGGTTTAACTGCATGCATGCTCCACATTTGTTTGGGACCTTTTGTTTGCAGATTAGAATTGCCTAGCTGCATCTATCAGCGATGTGTTTTTCATGTTTATTTTTTTCAACTTTCAGCGGCTTTCTTCAGCGGCAGGTCAGAATCCGAGTAACTGCCATTGAACCTTTTCCGCAAAATCCCGGGTAGCTCGCTGTCACATGGGCACCAGGCGCCAGGGCAGTGCAGCTCGATGGAGGTGCGATGTCGCACTGGTTCAGGGGAGCTGAGAGGTTGTGGCGCTTTGGACTGAGTGACTGAGTGGTGAGGAATCGTGAGGAACCTGTGGCAGACAGGAGCTTAAACTGGCTTAAACACTCATCATTGTCGCGGATACTTGAACATGTAGGAAGCAACTCCTCCTCCTTCCTGCCTGCCTTGGTAGAGTCGAGAAATGGGGAGAGACAGGAATGGGTGTCCGAGATTTCCCAGGGAATCTTGGAACAAGGACTTAAAGAGCACACCAAGCTGATGTACGGACCCTTACCTTTGACAGGAATGTGTTGGAAGGAGCACCCGAGGTCAACAGGATGAGCACATGAGCACAGTGTTTCGATTCAGCCTTGCAGTGCAAGAAAGAATCTCCCCGCCAAACAAACATGGAAGTGGAGAATTGACCAATGGAAGGTCTGCAGGGGAGTAACACTCCTGTTTTTGGGGCCTCAAAAGTGGCAGAACCCCAGTCGTTTGCTCCGTGACTTACACACCTTGGACCTTGGTTTGCAGAAAGGTAGTGGACTGGTTGTTTCGTGCGCAAGATCTCGTCTTATATGACAGGACCTCACAAGTTGGTGTTGGTTCACTTTTGCTGCTACGCGGCAGTTGGAATTGGTCGACAAAAACCTGATCGAGCCTGCTCATCGGTCGCCAGGTGTGTTCCTCCTCTGACAGCGCCAGTGGCAAGGAACAAATCAATGCCTCCCCTGTCCGGGGCACCCAACATCACCGGGAACCTGCGGAACTTGCTCCTGACATGCTGAATCATGCTAACTTGGTTGTAGTTCGTCATCGTTCGCACCATTTGTTCTTTGGGGTGGTGTGTGTGTGTGTGTCCACACCTGTGCCTAAGGAGTTCTGCAATGCACAATTCGTTTCAAACATAATGTAAAGGTGATGCAGGGGGTTGGTGGGGATTCGTGCAGTCAGCGACCAACGCAGACGCTGCACGTTTCCTGTGATATGAGTCAGGGACGCCTGACTCACGTACCTGCATTTTTCTCCTTAAAGGGCTGATGCGATGAAAACAATGTTGAAACATCTTCAAATTTCGGGACTCCATCGCCTTTCGGCTCTGCATTTTTAAGTCAAGGTCTACCTGCACTAAAGGGGAACTTCGTTAACTGATCCAGCTCTTGCGAGCAACGTTCTAAGTGTGTATCGCCACAGGGTCCCACTGAGAGCTGTGGTGTGATCCCCATCGAGGGGCGCGGCACATGAGACCCAGACTTGGGGGACCCCCACTGATCGTTTCGTCTTTCTCTCGTGAACTTCTCTCGGATTCTCACTGGCTTATGGTTTTGCACGAGACTGCTGATTGAGTGTCGCAGGGCTTACTGTGACTGAATTCCAGAACGGATCCTTACATGCTGCTAGGTCGTCACATGCACATGTCATGCTGCTACGTAGTCATAGGCCTTGTGAGGAGCGTGAAGCAACGTGAAGGGCTTTTTCTCCTTTGGTCCGTTTGGTTTTCTTTCCTGTTGTTGCTTTTCGTTTTCTTGAGGCCTTTCTTTAGGTAGTTCTAGGTGCCTTTCAGTCAAGGGAGCGCCGGTTACGGCAGTGCATCTGAGCCACCCCAACCCACCCTTGCACCTAATTCGTAGGTGCTATCCCACCCTCTAATTAGGGTAACAGAAGGAAATTGCACTCAACACACTTGTGTGTTGGTGCCTTTTTTTCTGTTTCTGCTGTGCTAGTCGTTCCTACCCGGGCGGTCTAAGACTAAAGTCCCGCTCGCTAACGAGTGCACCTAATTCATTCGGCTAAGTGGCTTCTTAACTAGTGGACCTCGTAACTGCTCCTATCTTTCTCTCTTGCCCTCTTCGTTTGCTCTTTCTGTCTTTTCTTTGTCTTTCTTTCTAAGGCTTGTTAGGTGGCTAGTAATTCTTTGGAGCGCCGAAAACGGCTCTCTGTGTGTGTCCACACCTGTGCCTAAGGAGTTCTGCAACGCACAATTCGTTTCAAAAATAATGTAAAGGTGATGCAGGGGGTTGGTGGGGATTCGTGCAGCCAGCGACCAACGCAGACGCTGCACGTTTCCTGTGATATGAGTCAGGGACGCCTGACTCACGTACCTGCATTTTTCTCCTTAAAGGGCTGATGCGATGAAAACAATGTTGAAACATCTTCAAATTTCGGGACTCCATCGCCTTTCGGCTCTGCATTTTTAAGTCAAGGTCTACCTGCACTAAAGGGGAACTTCGTCAACTGATCCAGCTCTTGCGAGCAACGTTTTAAGTGTGTGTGTATGAGTGTGTGTGGACAACCCTTACTGCGAGACTGGATCCTCCAAAGGCATCTTCAGATTGGATCCAAACGTTTATCCTCCGACGGAATTGAAAGTTCAACGTCCACCCAAGACATCTTCAAATTCCCAAAGCCACTGGATCGCTGACCTGGATTTGGACATATGCGAGGCTCAAGCAGAAGCGAGGCGCGCCTGAAACCAAGCGTGGGCCACTTTGCGGTGCCGGTTTGGCGTGGATTCCACGCCTTGCCCGGGTCAAAGAAGGGAGTGTATATAGGTCGTTTTGAAGGCTCAAACGCCTTGGCTCGGGTTAACCTCGAGGAGAAAACAAGGAGCTAACCGTGCTTTTCATCGACCACGAGTCACTGTCATATTCGGGATATGTATACAATTTACCTGAACAACCAAAGAGAGAGAGAGAGAGGGAGTTTTTTACTCCATGTTGAAAGCAGAAAGGGAATGGCAATCCCCGCAACAACATGCTTGTGCACAACCCCCAATAGGGCCCTTGATGAACCACTGCCTGTTCAGTTGCTCATCATCTAAAATCCTACAGCTCACCAGTGCACTTGTGCATCACCTAAATATGACACAAAAGCCAAACATCCGTGCTCCAAAATGGCCAACTGAGAGCCCTGAAGTTTTTCAGCGTACAAAATAGAACATATCACCGCCTTGAGATGCCATGGGAAACAAGGAATGACCGAAGTGATCGCTCAATCACCGCCCGGCCATATACTTTTTACTCAAAGTGTCGTTGTCGCTGACCCGCCCAAGCCGATGGCACTTCCCACGTTGAAGCCACCCAATCACGAGATGGCCGTGGAAGTCCGAAGCCTTCAAAGACCATGCTCATAGAAAAGTGTGTACCAATGAACTTCACCCAAAGCTGCTTAAGCGTGCTCGACTCGAAACCGTGCGTCTCTGCCGACTTCTGCACCGCCCAGGGAGGAAAAGACCTACGTTACCACTCGGCCGGGTGAGAGCACCGCTTTGCCCATCTCCGTGCGTTCGCAGCTCCCCACGGTGAGAGAGACCCCGCGCTATCAGGCGCAGGAGCGAGGGGATGGGGGGGGTGGGGTGGAGCCTTTTGTCAAGGGTGGTGAGGAGTTGAATGTGGATGAGTAGAGACCAGAAAACATCGATCGGTATACATATACATATATATATATATACAATATATATATAATAAATATATATATATATAATAAATAGTGTTTGCGTTGACATGTCGTTGGGGTTTGGGGACAACATGGGGCAACACAGTGTTTTGATTGCTGAGTTTCAGGCGGTTGATTGAGTCTATTGATGCGTTTGGAACAGCTGGTCCTCATGGAGTACCACTATGGGGTGATTTTGGTCGACACCCTTTCCACCATGTGGCAACCTGTGACAGTTCGGGTTCCGACCTGCCTGCTCAAGGAGATGTACACATGAACCAATTTGATGCAGTACCATCAACCAGGATGATTACGGACTCTTTTGAGGTGCTCACCCTGCAGGGCCGTGGAAAGTCAATGACTGTGGATCTACTGTAATGATTAGTGCCACAACGAATTGGTATGGCTCTTCAGTCTTTCAGTTGCCAAGTCCGGTCCCATGCACATCCAATATACTGTTTGTTATGTATACATCGAAGTCCTGAGGTATTTTTCCATATCCGGTCAGCTTCATGTTTCTCCTCGCTTTCGGCCCCGGACCCGGTGCAGCCTTTGTGCATAGCACCCTGCCCCAGCGTTGGCCCCAGGACCCCGCGCAGCACGGGGCGTGAGTAGCAAGAAACAGCACCGCGCCGGCCAATGCTCGCCCGTGGTTCGCTGAAAACACGCCGAAAACACGAACTGTGCTTCGGGCCGGGTGTCATAGGGTGGCGGGCAGAAGCCCGAAATCAAGCCCAACTGATGTTATATTGGTGCGGTAGATAAATAGGGCTTTAGGGATGCCCTCAACCAAGGTCCAAAGTCCACTGTCGAAATTTGTTTTATTACTAAATTTTGGAGACCCACGCCGGGGCTTGCGCAGATTGATGGGGCCATGCCCATGTGGCTTGTATGCGGCTGCCCCGGACAACGAGACAAGGCGTGATGTTTGAACCATTGCCAAGATGTGCCCAGACTTGGGGATTTTGGGTTGTTCATGGCTGCTGCTCGATTCTTCTGCTGCATGATTTGCTCAAAAGCTTGGTTCGTGACGGTTCGTGGTTGTTCGACACCCGACCCGAGCAGCCAGAGCGTCTTGCCTGGGCCTTGGTCTTCGGGAAACCAGCTGGAGAGTGGAAGATGTGGAGGCCCTTCGCGTAAAAGTGGGTCTCCATTTCAGATGGGGGGGTAGCTTGGCTTAACAGTTTACTTGCCTATGCCAGTTACACGGGCAGACAATAGGCAGACTATAACTGCTATAAGATGGTATAAGCGATGAAGACAAGACACCTGCCTTAAGCAGATGACCTGATTTCATTTCAGATTATTTCAGTCAGATTCTTTTCTAGTTGGGCCAAGCTTCAATCCGACTGTCTGTCATTGTTGTCAGACTTAAGCTTGGCCCAACTAGAGATGAATTGGCTCTGCTTGGGGGGCCCAGATCTCACTTTTGACCATGCACTCACGTAGCTAGCTTTTGCCTTGATGTGCCGACTGGAGCGCATGTCGTGGCATCGAGACGCCGGTAAACTAACTAACTATCATAGAGACTGATGATAGATCACTGGAAGAAGGCTCCTGACGTCCCCAATAGACTAGTAGTGACTCGTGCCGAGGGCATGTTGAGGGCCCATTCCAGCTGCTCTTAGCCTTGGGATGGTCCCACTCATCCCAGGCGACAGTCTGCCACGTCGGCCGATCCACGGGCCGAACCAAGCCTCGGGGCCCGACGTCCACGTCTCGAGCACCGTCCACGTCTCCACGGGTCCGACGCAGTGATCCGAAAGACCACGAACGGCTTGATCTTTGATGTTCGGCTTGAGGCTCAGGGCTCCAGGGGGGAGTCTTATAGAGCACACTCGCCCCGGGTTCCGAGACCCACATGGAACCTGAGTTCACCACCCACGTCGGGTTGGTCTTCGGAACATCGTCGTCTTCCATTTCGGTCCATGCCATTTTCCGGTTCCAAGGGTCCATTTTTTCAGGTTCCATTTCAAAGGTCCATTGGTCTTTTGGGGGAAGGGGAGCGTGTTTTCGGTGTGCCTCGGCGCGCCGCCTCAGGCGTTGAAGGTAGTCATGTCGGTGAAGGGGGATGCCTCGACGGACCTGCGAGCGTTGCAGAACTCCTTCCAGAGCATGAAGATGGATTCTGGCTTGGAGCCCCAGAATGCCACAGTGGGTGTGTGTTGATTGGATTTCTTGAGTTACCCTCATGAACAGAGGCCACGCTCAGGGGCTGCCACGCTTCCACGTTTGGGACCCATTGGGGCATGGGTGTTTCTTTTTGAACAAGCCTTCAACAACTCGCCTTGTTGCTGCCAGGCGCCGAGCTTCTTTTGGGGGGAGTTCTTTGGCCACAACCCGACACCTTCGTTCGAAGACACCAAAACTCTCGGGGCGACGTCCAAGGGACCAAAGAAAACCTGTGATGATCGGCCGACGTGGGAGGAAGACGTTTGGAACACCTCCTGGGGGTTAGCTGGAGCCACCGGACCTGCGACGTTTCCCTCTGCCACCTGGTGCACATCCTGCGGATTTTAGCCGGAGGGACCCCCCCAAAAATGGATTCTTCTTTTTCGGTTCACTTCTACAAACGGGGAGTGCTCGGTTCTTGTTTTCATCTCTTGGTTCCAGGCCCCAGGGTGCTTGTCAGTTCTTCGAGTCTGTCGATCTGAAGAACTGACTTTCGACCCCTGGAACGGTGAGCTGCAGATGTTTGAGGTGTAGCTGCTACACTGTAGCACTTGCTTTTTGTGGAGTCGTTTGCAGTAAGAACATGTAAGAACACTGATCGCAATTTATATATATATATACATAGATAGAGAGAGAGTGAGAGAGAGGGAGATTGGAATTTTGCTGATGAATTTGCCTTTTGCAGGCAGGACGCTTCCAAGAGGCATATGTGAGGTACTTGCACTACATTTGGAATCATTTGGCAATTTCTTCAGCCTGGGTGCGCAGACCCCACCCATCCACCACCAAACCAAATTCCCATCCTCCAACCAGAGCCCACAGAAAGAACACAAAGAACCCACCAGACACGTTTCGGAGGATGTTCCCTCACTCTCTGAAACCGCGGACGGCTTCGGCGGCTTCTTTACGGGCCAACACGGGTCGGTCAGGCAAGTCGGAAGACGGCTCTAAGAAGACGTCCTTCACCTACAACGCCGAGCGGGTCCTGGGAAGCGGCTCCTTTGGAGTCGTCTACCAAGCCCAGGCCAAGCGGAGGAAGGGTGGGGTAACTTGTGTAAGGCCGTGCAGCTCAGAGTTGCAGCTAGTAAGGACCTACCCGTATACGCACATGTATTTGGATGAGATCTGTGGATCTATTGTGGACTTATTGGGATCGGTTCTTGGAGGTTTTTGAGAAGGTGGAGCCCCGGCTTTGCTTGACGAAAGAAACGAGAAGGAACTCTTAAGAGCGAACGGAGTGGAGCACTTGATCACCAGCCGTGTCTTTCAGCGATGGAATGACAAAGAGAAGAAGGGTGTCACATTTGGGATCACCTCCCACACACTCCTAATACAACGATGAACTGCCACATACTGCCACACAATCCAAAAGCATGGATGGTGAACATCGCGGCCTTGTCACCTTGTCCTTTTCGGTTCCTTTCGGTCAACCAGGGGCTTGGATGCACTTGGAAATCATGGGGTCAAGGAACATCTCCAGCATTTGGGCCTTTGGAACGGCACCCCTCCGCTCTTTAGGTAGCAAAGAGGGTGGATGTCTTGCATCCCCAAGGGCTACCGGCAGTAGCGGTTCAAAGTGGTCGTTGCTTTCACGAGGGGGGCAAGACCTACGGTAAGGACATGATGACCATCTTCCATACACCCCGGCTCACCCGGAAGTGGAAAGCACTCTGCTTGCAAAGGAAAGTCGGCATTCGGACCATTTTCCACGTTCATGTTAGTGAGTCAGAGTGTACCCCGCACCCCTGGGAGATTCCTCCGGATCCTGTCCCTTAGCGTGCCTCCTGACAAACAGGTGGTGGAGACGGGTGAATCGGTTGCCATCAAGAAAGTCTTCCAGGAGTCGATCGCTTGAAAAACCCATTGCTTTGCGCCTGCAGAAGACGTACAGAAGAGGGGCGCAAAAAACACCTAGGGCCTCAGCGTGGTTGATTTGCTGCCAGGACAAGCGCTACAAGAACAGGGAGTTGCAGATCATGAAGGACTGGGTAACTGGACAGGTGGCTGGGTCTAATGACTGAAGTGACATGCTAATACATGCTAGAATGTGTCTGTGGAAAGTCACAGGACACCAGTACTGTAGTTGTATCTTCACGGTGATTGATGTGGACAGGAGAACTGTACAGAGGGCTCAAGAGAAACAAGAAAAACATGTATTATATAATGTATGTAAATGCCATTACATGCCATCAATTTTGCATGGGCAGATCCATGCTCAATTTTCCTAGGAGAGTCTGACGTGTCGACGTGTTCCACTGCACCTCCGGTAGACTTGTGTTTTGGAACACGAGCGACTCTAGTGTCGTGGGAAAAACCGGCTCCCAACAGGAGTTGAAGCACCCAAACGTGGTGGAGCTCGGAGCTTGTGGTCAACCAGTTGGTTTGAGGGAACGCTTTGGACGATCATCAATTCAATAAATAAGCTGCTTGGGAGGTGGGACGACAATAAATCGGTGTCGAGGTGTTTTTCGTGAATCAGGCGCAGCAGAAGTCGACCTGCTCTTACTCCAAGGCTGAAGCATGCCTTCTACACCTCCGGTGAGAAGCCGGGTGAGACATATTTGAATGCCCGGGGCCTGAGACTTCCCAGCGTGCAGGGGCACTGGTGGGCGATCGGCGAACGAACCGCGGACGTTTTGGGATGAGACTTGGATAAGCCGAGCCCAAGTCTTACCTCCTTCAGGCCAACCTGTTTGGGCTTCTGACCAACCCATCCTGCCCAGAAGTCCAGCCCTGGCCTCAGAATACGACACGTAAGTAAGGTCACAGCTCCAAGCCTACACCCCATTTCCCCCCCGGTCAAGAATATGGACAATTTGTTCCTCTACCAACGGGTCAATGATGTGGAAAGACTGCGGTACCCTGCTGGAAACTACCATGTTCCCTCGCCGAGCGGCAGCTTATTATGGTAGCCCAGGACTGGGGTTTGCAAGTTAGTTGGTGGAACAGTCACCATTTGGTCTTGGACACTGCAACTTGGATGAGTCCTGAGCGCTCTAAAGGCTGGCACCCAAGCCGCAAACAAACGGGCCAACAAGTGCACAGTGGCGTGTGGAATGGGAGGAGGCACCCTCAGGGTCACCACAGCTACCACCAACTCGCATGATTCGATTCCCAAGAGATGCATATATAACATTGGAGTCCCAAGCACACTTGCAGTCACTGGAGTCACCACCAGGGTACTTGTGAAGCATAGTCATACTGTATGACTGTATGACCATTCGCCAGTTGCCTCACAGTGGATTAGGGACATCCAAGTGATTTTCTTTTTAATCAGAGGACACCTATTTTTCTTTAGGCCAGCAGCTGCCAGTACGGTCTTGTTTCTGATATGTCCTTGAACGACGACATTGTGCTGCACGTGGTGACATGCTGACTGACTAGAAGATGCCTCTGAGCTCTTCTGGGTGGATGCATCTCGATGTTGCTCTGTCCATCCACCGAGGTGGTGATGGAGTATTGCTCTGTCCGGAGCTCTGTCCAGGGTGGGCACATGCAGACAATATATATATATAAATCCAGGATTTGTGGACCTGAAAGGTGAAGCTTTATTCAGACTTGGAACAACTGACAGCAGGAGACGCCAGACATGGAAGCAGACATAGCAGACATCTCAGCGTAAGATGATGACATTCCGGTGGCTGACCCCACCTCGAAACCAGCATTTCTCATTTCTTTGCAGTGGTTGAAACGCTTCCAGTGTCCGAAGCAACGAGAGTTGCCCATGAAATGCACCCAGTTTCAGGCACTACCAAAGCACACCGATCCACACTCGATGGTCACAACGTTCACGGGCTAAACCATATCGTAGACCACTCTCAGAGCGATGCACGGTGGGGGGAGCTATCGGCCCAGGACACGATCTACCGTGTCATGAAGCATTACAGCAAGATGAAGCAGCCAGTCCCGCACATCTTCGTGCAGCTTTATTCCTACCAGGCCGCTCACGCGAGCAGCGCCGCTGGCGACTGAATGTACTGCCCTTTCAGTGATAAGTCACCACAACCCAATCAGAGGGAGAGGGAGCCAAGTTTGACTGCCCTTTTAGACCGTTTGCTGCATCAAAACCGCCGTCTAGCGACCAAAAGCAGCGCCGTTGCCAGATGGGCCGCGCATGTGCGTACATCCATGCAGTTGGGTAGGGGACCCAGTTGGGCAGGGGCGCTGCTGTATGAGGTGAAGCAAGAGGAGAAGTCATAGGAAAATAGGCAAGCCTTACAGGCTCCCGTCCGCCAGCTGAGTTTCTGGAACGTCTAGGGTGCGCCTACCGAGGGCTTCAACTCTCCGCAAAAAAAGGCCGAGCCTTCCGGTGGAAACATGGAATCTTCCATGGAACATGTTTGATCTGAGCCCATGGAGCGAACGCAGATCTTTTTTTCTGGTTCTCGACTCACTTTTTACACACCGTCTTTTAGGAACTGCTTAAGTCCAAAGTATTGGGTTGGTCTGTCACCTCTCGCCGGTGACGTGCCTCCAATAAATCTTTTTCCACACAACAATCACCTTCAAGAATCTCCTTTGAAGCGGAAATGATTCCGGACTCTCCCAGTTTCCGCCCAGGATTTGCCATCGGGACATCAAGCCGCAAAATCTCTTGGTGGATGGACACACCCACGCCTTGAAGCCTCCTGGCACCAAGACAACGGTGGGAAACGTTGAACACTACTGTAGGTTGTGCACAAATCCATCCTACAAACAGTGTATAATTAGGTTTGCGACCTACTATAGAGATCCCCACCAGAACCAGGCGACCACTCCCCTCCGCTGCGCCGGCTGTGCGCAAGGCTTTGTGACTTTGGCTCGGCGAAGCCCTTAGTACGAGGAGAGCCCAACGTGGCCTACATTTGCTCGCGCTACTACCGCGCGCCCGAGCTGATCTTTGGGGCCACGGACTATGGATTTGTGGCCCGGCAGAGTTGGAGTTGATTTTGCTATGTTTAAAGGCCCGTCCTTACTTAACTGAGTAGGCGCCTACGGAATTAAGTAAGGTGGAATGAGACGGGTTCCAGGATGAACTTGAGTCTCAAATTTGGTCCCTGTCTCCTTGTGGAGGGCATCCATTTGTGCCTTTGCAGCAAGAACCTCCGTACCCCCAGCCCTATATCATATATATATATACCCCAAACAGTTCAGGAAGTTCCAAGCAGGCACACATCCACTCAAACACGCTGTGGCTTGCAGAGGTGCTTATCCCATGACACCTGGGGAGCCACTCCAACTCCCCACGTACCACTCCAAATCCGTGTTTCACTGGGCCTCGCTCTAATTACATCGTGCCCATCGTGTCCTGACTCAGGTGATCGACATTTGGTCGGCCGCCTGCGTTTCGGCCGAGCTCATCTTGGGGCACCCCATGTTCCCAGGCGAGAGCGGTGTCGACCAGCTGGCCCGGCAGCCCAGACATGGCGCCGCGACGCTTCGTGGTGTGGCACGGCGCCGCGGCCGCCTCGTGCGACGCCTGCGACGCGCCTCGGACGCGAAGGTGGAGATCATCAAGGTTTTGGGCACACCGACGCGCGAGGAGCTCATGGCGATGAACCCCAATTACACAGAGTTGGTGCCTCAAGGGGAGGGCACTGTTTGCTCCTCCGGCGGGCAGAAAGCGAGGGGCCTGTGTTGCGTGGAAGCCGTGTACATTTGGTGCGGTTTGTGCACTCTTGCCCGCCCAGACCCTAAGGCCCCCAGGCAAGAGTGAAGGGCGCAGCATGGTCCAGTTTTGGGCACTGACACATTGAACCCCGCCATTAGGATATCGGGTTTTCGCCCACACAAGAAGCTCAGGTGGCACAATGAAATGCATCTACATTGTATCCAAAGTAACGCTTTTTTGGTCGGCGTACTCGGCGTACCCCTTTTTGTTTCAGGCCTTCAGGCGGTTTTTCGTGCCAACAACTCCTGTTTGATTGCGCCGCGAAACCCTCCATCCAATCCATCCGCTGTCTCGTCGGAGTGTATTTCCCTGCCCCATGAAATCTGAGGTTCAAGTTCCCGCAGATCAAGCCACACCCATGGCACAAGGCAACGGTGGTGCGGTAGCCATTCATGCGATTTTTTTTACACGTTTTTCCATTGACGTTTGATGCCTGGGCCCAAGGTTGCTTTCAATAGCTTTGAATCCTATTCATTCTGATGACAACCAGAAGAGTGCTGTATTCTTGAGGGTGACTTCTGACTGGTTGGCAACTTCATGCAATTTTTCGGGGCCGGTTTTGGGCCAGGCGACCCTTCTGTGAAGGAGGTAATTGAGTGAACTCAACCATGACTAATCCTTGAAGTGCTACGGACGAAGATTTAGTTCAATCCCGATCATCTATGCCGGCCCCCTTTTGCACACAATTTTAAAGGCAACACATATACGCTCTCTGGAACTAACATGGAAGTGGAGTTCACCCCGTGTTTGTAGAGGAACATGGTCTTCCTTTCGGGGCCATGTTCCACTTCCATGTTAGTTCCGAGGGTATTTATATATCACAGGCCGTTTCGACTTGAAAGACGGGCCCTCCAAAAAAGCCAAGGGACCACCATGACCAGAGTCACCAATGACTGACCTCCCAGGCATCACCGGGATAAGATGTTGGCCAGGTCAGATCGTTTAAAGCTAGACATTTGGCTGGACAACCCTTTGGCCATGGGCATATATGTTTGTGTTTTTTTTTTTTGGCTGGGTTTTCAGCACCGGCAGGGAGCAAGGGATTTGGAGTTTGTTTCTTTTTGTTTTCTTTCTTTTGCAAGTGGTAGGGGCTGGGGGTATGCCAGTTCACTTGCACGCAGGTCTTTCCCACACTGGAAGTGCCTAGACTAGTCAGAGACAAGTCCAAAACATTCAAGTGGATAATGGCCAAAAACGTGGGGAGTATCCATGAATTGAAATATTCATGTGGGTGGGTTTGGCATCCATCGAGTGGATCCGGCAACCCATCAGTTCCAGCCTTCAGAAGCTCCCTTTCACCCAACCCAGTCGGCAGTCTTGCCAGGTCTTCCGCTCCAGGACCTCCCAGGAGGCGCCCTTTCGCAACAAACATGACAAAAGCAGCCAATGCTGGGAGTGCTGGGGGAGAGGGCGGAGTGACCAGGCCGTGTCCTGCGCCAGGCCGTGGACTACATCTCCAAGCTGTTGGTCTACGACCCGAAGCTACGCCCCACAGGCCTGCAGTGCTGCACCCACGCCCGGGCGCCTGGTGGAGCAGGTTTGAAGAGCTGCTGGTAGAGAGAAGTACAGCCCTTGAAGTGGAACATCTCTGTCAACATTTATTTTGGAGCTTTCATGGTGTCCACCTGACCGTTCTATTCTTTTCGCCCTCTTCCTCCAGCGCCTCAGGCGCTTTTCGATGACCTGCGCGACCCCAACACGTGCGCACACCCGATCGCGGTCAGAGGCGGTCAGGATTTTGCCCTGCAACAGCTGAAGTGGGGAATGGGATCGCGTGGGCTTTGCGGTCCCGAAGCTAGATAGGTCCAGTTGAAAAGTAAACAGGGACAGGTCTTTGGGAGGTGGTTGATCAAGAACTATCAAGAACTCATACTGTTTTGGCCCTAGGTTTGACAATCTTTATCTCCAAACTGTGGTGGAAAGACTATGACATGGGCGGTCATGGGAAGGGGGGCTGCTGCATGGATTCATAAGGCGTGATCAGGCGGCATGCAGCCTGGGATTCAGGAATGTTGGAGGAAAGGTTTGGCACTATTCTCACTCCTGCATCAGCCAGAAGCCCTCTCAACGCCTATGTGATGCTATATATAGGCTATACGACTAAAGTGAGTGGCTTTCCACCCCTTTTCCCTTCCACCGCCGTGCTTGCTGAGGCGCATCAGTAGCTCCAAGCCGCTGCCGGACCGAATGATGTGCCCGTCGTTCGACGGGTGTTTCCGACCCCCATCCAGCCGGATCAGGGGGGCCCATGGCGCCAGCTGTCACAGCCACTGAGCTAGATTACTCCACCCTAGTAGGGATGGCCTCCACCCTAGTAGCGATGGCTTGGTATTGTGGAAGCCAGGGGAGAGGAAGACCTGGACATGATTATTTTTGTGCTCGGGGCTTGGGGTGTTCAAAGCTCTCCCCTCGTAACATCTACTTTTTGAGGGCGAGGGTGAGGGACAAGAAAGATGAAAGAACTCAAACACTATGTCGAAGCCCAAGCACAAAGACAATGATATATATATGTGACATCGTCACACATTGTCAAGGAACTTCTTCAGCAGGACGACTTGCATCCATTTGCTGTGGAGATTCCTGCCCTAAAAATCCGCATCCTCCGCCACGATATCCACCCTTCCTAAGTCTTTTTGATCCACTGATCCAACGACCAAAGAAAGACCCAAGCAGCTCAGAGAATCACCGGTTGCATCGGTCCAGGAAGCTGGAACCCCAAAATCATGCGAAACGTGTCGCACGACACCAGCAGGAACACCTCTTTATTTTCTCCAAAGAGGAACTGGCCCTGGCCTGAGAAGCAGTTCCTCCGCTTTTGTTGGAGCTCACCACGTTTCACCTGCTGGGTAGCTTTGTCCAACCACTCCCAATAGGCATCTGATCCTGTCCGGGTAGGACATGATATCACCAAATATGCCGCATGTGGCTCCAACATTGGGTGCACCACATCAAAAGCAAAAATAGACTAAAACATACTAAAACCATTTAAAACCAGTGAACCCCCGAGTCCATATGATGATTGATCAGGGTGTCCAACAGGCCAGCTGACATAGCCCGCTGTGCTAGGTTTTGGACGGGGTCAGATGTAGGCACTTGTGTGATGGCGATTGCGTTTCGGCATTGTCACCCCAGCCCACTAAGGCCCAAAGTCACCCACTCCAAAGGTCAGAAACTCTTATATATATATATACATGAAAGCGCTCCTCCCTTGAAGTTTTGATTCAGTGTGAACATAGTCCTTGATGGTGCTCCAATTGGTAAGAATACGGCTTTGGCATGCTTGGGCTATGATAGGTGCAAGTCATTCCGCCTCAATGTTGCACACCCTGTCATCACTTCGTGGACAAAGGCGCTAGACCTTTGACGGACAACGCTCTTTGAGCGACGATGCAAGGCCTTGATGGACCCGGACATGCAGCGGAAGCTGATCCCTGCGTGGTTTGCGTCCAAGGCGCCGTCGTAGCACGGAGAAGAGGTCTTTTTTGGTTTCTCTGGGGGTCGGCGCTCTGGAGAAGTTTTAGGACTGAGTCAGATCGTTTTGTTTTTTTCCAGTCGTTTGGAGGATGAGCGCACTCAGTCGAGTTCAGACCTGGCATGTTCAACCGGCCGCTAGTGGAAGAGGATCGTCGTCGACATTTGGTAGATCCTTTTTGAGCCATGGGACTCGCCTGCAGGGCACTCCCTGCAGGGCACTCCCTGCAGATCAAAAAGAACTCCCCACATCTAAAAACCAAATCAAACACCTGCCGACCTCGGCTTCCTTTCTGAGAACTCGAGACTCCAAGAGACCGACTCGCTCAGGAGAAGAAGTCGGACTCCAAGGCGTCGGTCCCCACTGTGCCCTGAGGCAGTGGAAACGGCCGAGCGTAGAGCGGACCGGAAGAAAAAGCAGCGAAAAACGACTGAGACCGACTGACCGGGATGGAGAAAATACATGGAAACTATGAAACGAATCGCCTGAAAGAGAGACGGGTTGATGTTTTGCTGGATGGTTGGAGCAACAGGCCCGAATCCTGTGGAGAGTTTGTTTTCTGTATTTTGCTTCGTTTTACCTGAGAGTTGGTCCGGTGTCTTCTCCAATCGGCCCAATTGAGAGTTGTGTGCCGATGGTGTGGACGTGTTCCATACAAGAACCTCCTTGGATGCCTCGAGCAGCTTGCGCGTGTACAGAATGATCTGGATCGCTGGGCCCGGCCGACGCCGGGAGTCGCAAAGGAAGGCCTTTTTAAGTTGTTGTCCCCTCCTTTTGCTGCCCCACCCAGAACGAAAAGGAATCACGAAGATGTTCCAGGCACGTTTTTTGACTTTTTTCATGCTTTGCCACCCCTGCGGAAGGAGAAAAGGCAACACAAGGATGAACCTGTTTCAGGACATTGCACGCTCCCGCCACTCCCTGGACGAGGTTCCGAAGTGGAGCACCCCTCCGGTCCTCCGAAACCGAACGAGGAAGGTGACGGTCACATGTTCGTTACGCCCAAGAGTTCGCCCGGGCCAGAGCTGCCGTTACGGCCAACATTCCTCTAAAGAGGGGTCCCTGAGATGGTGTTTTAATGAGTTTTTCATGTGCATGTATATAGATACTACAGTGATTTTTATAGTGGTTGGCACGGGTTTTGTTTCATCAGCACTCATGAGTACTCAGTGTTTTGTTTGGTGCTAAATGAGGCTGACTGGGCGCATCCTTTTCGGCAAACATGTCAGATAACAACATGATAACACTAACTCACTAGGTAGTCACTAGAGACATCTAGAGACTGAACCGAAGGCTGGCCACCTTCACACAGGGAATTTTGAAGCTGAGGTTCAGTTGCCAGGGTTGAGAGCCAGTTTATCACGAAATGTAGGTTCAGCTACCTGAGTTCAATTAGCTTTAGCTTTGGGGCAGGATCCTCCCACACGCCATGACTTTGGGCTCGCCAAAGGCGATTCTGTATGACAATGTATGACAGGGGGGTGGTAAGTTTGAGGGACTTTCGCCTGGAGGTGTGGAGCTTTGGCTGGACTTTTTGCGGGGCCCGCCCTTTTGTGGCTGTTTGATCTGCTCAAATGCACCCAGGATCCCGGTGTCTGAGAAGACAAAAGCAGAAACATGACCAAGTAGTCTATGGATCGTTTGTTTTTTTCAACGAGGGAGACTCGCTACCTTCCTTTGCCTGCCAGCGAACCCAGTGACCTGGCGCTTGAAGCTGGTGCTAAGCCAAGCCAGATTTGATGCGGGGCTGGCGATCTGGCAGGGGTCGGCATATCTCTCACTGATGCCATCTTGGACCATGAAGAAGACTTGATTGAACAGCGGAACCGGTGCAAAGCATCAAGACTAACAGCTAGCACCTGCCAAAGGGTGCTTCTCTTCCACCATTCCATGTATTTGGAAGGCGCTGAGCTGGACGGAAAAGCTGGACCCCTTTGCCAGATGCCTTGTGAGTTTCACCCTTTTTGGGCCCTTGGGAGAGGTTTGCTTCCCATGGCCCACTCGCCTTGGGGTTGATGGGAAACCTCATCTCGGTGGTCGCGGAGTGATCAACCCCGACCCTTGGTCTTAGATGGCATGGTTGGGTATCAAAAGGCCTGCTGGAAAATGAAATAGCCAGAGGTGAAGCCACCCCGAACAAGAGGACAAGATGTGTAGATTCCGGAACTTTTTTGCTTTCCGAAATCGACATCACGTACTTTTGTTTGAGTGTTCTTTGGATGGGAGCCGGCCTTTCAAATCCAAGCACTACATGGTGCGAGCCGTTTCGATCGGAGGACGAGGTGACAATTGGGGCCATCAAAGAAACGTCATGCTGATGAGGTGCGAATCTTTCAGATGTCAGACATTTGGCAGCCCAACTTCAATCCATAGAATCACACTTTTTCACAGATCTGGGCCTCAAAAATGGTCTCTCTCTCTCTCTCTCTCTCTCCGTTTTGGTGGGAGGCCCTCCAAGAAAGAGAAGGGTCAAGCCGGTCTCAGCTTGCGAGACTTGAGTGGCTGCCGGCTCGACCGGCTTGAAGACCCAAAAGCACCATGGAGGGAGCGCCCGAATTCGGGTCATGAACAGGTGAAGCCGACAAGTGTTCTTGGAAACTCCAGTGTCAAGAATCATGGGGGGTTCATCCTGGACATCCATCACCGATCATGAACCCTACACCATCCTACACCCCACACCATTCCACGGGGCTTTTGCACGAATTTGGCCACCCCTTCCGCTCCTCGATCCCCTTCCGCGAAGCTCCTCGAAGCCCGGTCTCAACCTGCATGGATCTGCCGACCATCGGTGGCTGACAGGAGAGAGGTGCTGCTTTGGTCAGGATGAGTCATGGCAAGCGTCACTGACCCAAAGAAATGTGGGTGAGTTGGTGAGTTCATGACTTTGGGTGTGCACGGTCGCAAGATTGGGTCACAAATCCAAGGCATGATTCAGACTGACCCTCGCTCAGACACCACAAAAAATGATTGGCGCCGATGTTTCGACCGCACGCAGGGCATGAGCTGCAGAACAAAAGAGCGGCCTCCGTCCGCGCGGGTGTGTGTGTCCAATCCTGTTTCCAAGGACACTACCCTAGTTCTCGTT